CCCCCCCCCCCCCAGTAAATCCATCCCTGTGTTTTGGGATTAACTGGCTCTTCTACCACTGTAGCTGTGCTCTGTGATCGTCTACTGTATGTGTCATAAGGACAGGCTGCCAGAGGAGCATATAGAAAGCCCTTGATCTAATCAAGTTGAGCTGCGTCATTCAAATTTTTCTGCTTAAGACGCTTGTATAAATCCCTGCCTAAGGAACTCATTCTTTAAATAAAAATTTACAAGCTTTGAGATTCTTCTTTAATACTTCAAAGTTGTCAACCAGCATATACTTTAGTAAATTGTATGTGTTTTAACATGCTTTCTTCATGGGAAAATGCTGAATTAACCAGTGTATGACAAATTGACAATTCATTTTGAGTCCTTTTAAAACAACAATATTGGATAGATGACCTGGTACTGTTTTCTGTTTTTGGCAAAGTCCATTTTTGAAGAATACTACACATAACAAATCAAAATGTACATGTAAATACTGATATCCAGATTAGATACATCTATGGGTATTATAATGTACCTTTATTGTAAATTTTAGGGCAAGGAAAGTATTGGAGACTCGTGGCCAATCAGATGATGAAAGGGTAAAGTTAATAACTCTGTGTTTAGTGTTTAGGGATGAGCCGATAAGGAAAATTGCCAATTTATACTGAGGCCGATTATTTATAAGCCGATTATTTATAAGCCGATTATTTATAAGCCGATTATTGTAACTAATCGGCCGATTAATCGGTACCCACCGATTATTTTAATAAGCAAGCGAAAAATCACAGGATGACCAACAATGAAGTTATAAATGCGGTTTTATTGTTTACAATACACACTTTGTACAATTAAAAACAGCTTCAGTCTCGCATGTCAATAGTCAAAGTTTAGTTTTGGCAGATTATGGTGTAAAAACAAGACAATATGCGGAGCTAGTCTGCTGCGCTTTTTTAGTGGAAATGTTCCCAGCTTCACGTCACTTGAGACGAAAGAAGGCACAGGTTTTTCAACAAAATGTGAAAATCTATTCGCTTGTATTCAGTATTTTAGCATGTGATTGGCAGCTGCAGAGAAAGTCTTATGGCTGATTATTTGCCGATTATCAGGCAATAATCGGCCGATTACCGATTATTTAAAAAACGGCCGATTAATCGGCTTTGCCGATTATTTACCGATTAATCGGCTCATCCCTATTAGTGTTACTGAGTGTAACTATTCTTAATAGGTTTTGGGTTAATTAATCATTTTGTGTATATTCATCCAGTTGGCTCAACTACAAGATCAATTAAAACGAGACCAAGAACTGGCAGAAGAGTCACAGAAAAAGTATGAAGAGGTCAGAACATGTTTTGTGTTTTGTTCACACATCAATGATTTGAAAATAATGAACGACTGACTGTTGACATTTTTGTTCAGATTGCAGAAAGAATCAACCAACTAGAACAAGAACTGGATGAGAAAGAAGAGGCTGCACAAGAAGCTGAAATGTAATTTTTTATTTTGTTCAATTTTATTTTCCCCATTATTTAGCTGCTTGTTTACGGTATATATAGCCTCCACATATGAGTTGCCAAAATTATCACAACAATAGCATTTCCCAGAAGCAATTTTGATTTAATTCTTGTGAAGCTCATACTGCAATGAAGAGAAGAAGACAGTGTTTTATGTTTATCACAATTTTTTTTATGCAATCGACTTTAAAAAGCTTCATTTTAAACTGGATCACTTTTCTTTCATTGGTGGAAAAACCGGGCAATTAAAGATGCTTGTTGGGTGGTCATGACAAAAGCAAAAACCTGGTAGTCTTTGGGATGGAGAGAAGGGGCCTATTGTCTAAATCTACATTTCTTTTTAGTCGTGCAAAGGCTTTAGAAGAGGAAGTGAATTTAGTAGGCAACAACTTAAGAAGTTTACAGATTAGTGAAGATCAAGTAAGTGAAAAATTGTTGCTTACTTGCATAATACTTTGTTAACAAGCAGGCTCGCTCTGACTACCTGGTTAAATACAATTTTCCACATTTTAGGCTGTTGAACGAGAGGGAGGCTATGAAGAGAAAATTAGACAACTAGAACAGGAATATGCTATGGTAAGCTACTATTTTAATTGAACTTTTTGTGCCAGCAGATAATAACACCAGAATGCTGATGAATGAGATTCTGAAACCACCTGAAAAACACAAGTAGGACTTCTAAGTTTTGAGCGATAGCCTTTTGTTGGGAAGTTAGTAATCCCTAACTGACAAAGGATCTGTTGCTTGAAACTTCAAAGTTGTACTACTATTTTTCATGCACTTGAATACTTTCATTGTAGTCCTATCATGTCAACGTAGCATGGTAATACAGGGTGAAATTATTGTATGAATTAAGACTTATCAATTTGATGTTTAAACTCCTTAGGCAACAGAAAGAGCAGAAATTGCTGAAAAGCGAGTGAAAGAATTAGAGGAAGAAACAGATGAACTTGAAGGTAATGCATTTCTCTACCCCCTGGGGAATTCACAAGAATATTTCAATCCAGGGGGGAGGGGTAACAACATGATATTAAAATGCTTGTGATGTCACTCAGAGTGTATATCCACACCGGGCAAGCTTGAAAAATATGCCTGGCCACGATGGGAAGTTTGCCCAGTGTGGATATACACTCAGAGTAACATCACAAGCATCATATTCACATGAGTACATTACACCAGTTGATACAAAAAAATCATGATATTAAATCTCTATGTTTTGACAATACATTTGAGTTATCTCGAATGTATGAAAGATGTATGGGCAAAACAGCACCCATGGAATGTTCAACACAGGTATTTCAGTTCTTTCTAAACCTTTTTTTATTTTAATCTTTTCTCATTGCAGGAAGCTTGGAAGAAGCAAAGAAGGAGTACGAGACGGCGAAACAAGAACTTGACACAACACTGCAAGAATTGGATGAAATGTAGATTTATTCCAATGACTGTAAACTAAATATCGAATGCCAGGGGTTTGAGTGTTGTCACAAAACTCCTCTAGGGAACTGTAAAGTAATCATTGTAGAAAAGATAAAATAGGTTTCTTTTATTATCTTTTAGCTTCAAATATCTATGTATCCAGTTAGATTGATGGACATTGTCATCTTTATGTTGTTAAGAATTAAATTTTTTAAAATTTACCACTGTTAACCACTCTTCATAATTTCAACTGGCTTTTGAAATCTGACTTCAAGTGGGTTTTTTTGTGCAAATCAGGCAGGGCCGGAGATGTGGGGGGGGGGGGTGACACCCCTAGTCGGTAGGACTGCTATTTGGGTTAAATATTTTTATGCAAAAGGCAAGATAGAGTTTGGAATTTTAGAAAAAAAATTTGGACAAATGGAGAAAATTTGTGATGTCCGGGAAAATTTTTGGTCCCCTAAAATGGTACACTGACCGAAATTTTTTATGCGACGGGGGGGGGAGGTTGCCAAAAAAAAAATTTTCGGCACTGGTCGGTTGAAATGACCTTACCCCCCCCCCCCTGAAGAATTCCCTGAGGACGGGGTTTGATAATTCTGTACCTGGGGGATGGCCAATATTACGGTATGGTAGTTCTTTGTTTTCAACCAAGTACCACACGTAGGTACGCAGAACTCTTGCTATCTGCTATCTTACTTTTAGCGAGTACCATACGATCTTCCGTAGCCCAAGGTATTCAAAATAGGTGTGGACAGATTGGAGGTTTACAATCCGACAATTGGTAATTTTTGAAATCTGTTCTGAAATTGTCTGATCCGAATCTAATCTGATCCGAAAAAAGTCCGATAAAACCTTCTCTCCTTCAATAAATTAAACTTAAAAGGTGTATAATTAACTGTATAGCCTAGTTTCCACTCAGGAAAGTTATCCGTGGAATGGAACGGACAAGAAAATTTTTCTTTGTGTTGAAGTCATTTGTTCCAACCCGGAGCTCACAAGACGAAGAAAAATTTCTTGTCCGTTCCAATCAACGGATAATTTTCCTGAGTGGAAACTAGCCTTAAATCGGCTCGATTTCAAATTTCTAGATTCTGGCTGCCCGTCTTTTTGCAGAAGCCAATTCGCAATCTCGCGTCAAAAGCCTGACTCAGATCTTTTATTCTTTACAAGTAGGGTTAAACGTCTTGGACAGTCGATAGACAATTAGAAATAAACAAATTAAATGGAAGCGCCGTATATAATCGAAGTCCGATGCGAAAATACTGTTTGAAGGTTTACAAAGGTCAAAGCTAATTCGAAATAAGGGTGTGGTGTTTGTATTGCGAAGTATTTTCCGACATTCAAGATGCTCCTTTATGGGAGCAGATTTGAGAAATTATTATCTAATCGACGTACCCTAGTCTCGGTAGTTGTGCAAGGGGCTGGAATAGGTCTTCTGTTAAACTTTTTGCATTGTCTCAGCAGTCTCACTTTTGTATAGCCACTCTATCTGCCTTTGCTATATCATGGCACAGAATGATGGGAAGGAGGTCAGGGGCGTAGGAAGCACCTGGAGTTTGGGGGGGGGGCACCGGCTTGTAGGGGCACATTACTATCGGAAAGGGCACCTAAAAAATTTTTCGTTACCTGAAAAACGGCACCTATTGTTTTAATTTAGTATTTACAGCGACATTAGCTTCTACAAAAGGGGCACTTTTCCTCACAAAAAAGGGCACTTTTCAACACAAAAAGGGCACTTTTTATCACAAAAAAGGGCACTTTTTATCACAAAAAAGGGCACTTTTGGGGGGGCACGTGCCCCTACGCCCCTGAAGGAGGTCACAATTTCTGCGGAATCACACAAGCATCTGACTCGTACTCTGAATGAGATTTGAAAAAATAATGCAGCTCAATTATCTGTGTATTCCATAAATATCTCATTATGAGATATCTTGGTGTACTCGCGTAAAATTTTGTAAGCAGGGCGAGGCCTGCAACCTCGCGACCCAGGCCCTTTAGTGCCAGCCTAGCTTGCCTTAGGAACAGTAGGGACCACTTGATAATCAGTACAAGTATGAAGTCATGAAGGTTTATAGATTCAAGGCTTTAAGATAATAAGGTAGAGTGTGCCATCGCAATTATATTTTCCCATTTACAAACTGTTAAAAAATCTTTGAGCTTTATTTCTACTAATATTTTTCACTGACGATATTTTTACAAAGTATGAAGTTCTAATTTCATATTCCTACACTATCATTATTGTTCAATGCATTACTAGCCGAGCCATAGCCACCAGACTAGCCTGCGAACAGGCTCTCAAGCTGAGCTTGAGAGCCTGTTCGCAGGCTACCACCAGACTACCCCCCTAGTCCTCTGTGCGTACTAAGAGACCTGGGGACAATTTGGAAGTGGTCTGGGTCAATCTCGTTCGATCCTCGGGAAGGAACGCGAGGCTCTGGGATAATACGTTTCAGAGCCTCACGTTCCTTCCCGAGGATCGCAGGCTCGGGGAACGGGATTGGGTCTGGGTAAATCTGGGTTTGAGTGATAAAGGCGTGTGAAATATTTAGGGGGTCCACCCCCCATGGGGGAATACTCCTCTGCTATAATATTCTCGATATTCTCTGAGCCTCTGAAATCATGAATTGTAAAATAACATGTATTTTATTATCCATGGTGGAATTAAGCAGAGAATCTGAAAATTTGTTTCCTTATTACAGATGATAATCCCAACAACCTCTATTAATTAAAAGCGAACTCTAGGTATATAATATTGATGCAAAGTCAAAACTTAAAAAATTCTTCAGTGAAACGGGACCAAGTTGAACAACTGGACCGGTGGCTACAGCCCTGCTACATCCTTCCTTTTTGTTTAATTTAAGTGTTTATTGCAAAGTTTGAACATATGTTCTGATGCTTGGGAATAATGACTGTTAAATGTAGTTATGTATCGAAGAAATTCTCTTCCAGGTATATCAGTCTATGCCATCTTTCTTTTCTTTAATCGCTGCCTGCAATAAAATGTAGATATTTAAGTAAAAAATATTGGGGAAAGGGGATTTAGGTTGCCACAATATTACTACCCATCCGTTGCTGGAATGCTGTATATCCCAATATGTAAATTTGCTTAACCATTAAGTTAAGAGACTTATTCGTTTTTATGTAATTCAGTTTTTGACATAGACATGCCATGTACCTGGTCTCTTGTTCGTGTCGGCCCATTGTGAACACAAACGCCGTTACTTTTTTGTACAGCTTGCAAACCAAACATCTCAGGTCTCAAAACAGTAAATTCGAATGATTTTCATTCAAATTTCTTTGCTCTATTTGAAACATTTTGGGTTTGCATGCATGAGTGCTAATGAATCTGTAACAAACTGTAGTGTGAACACACATAAATTCTGCTAGCATTATTGAGAACTTCCATAGGCGTACGGGGCTGATGTTTTTCCTTGGTTTGAAAGTTTGCCGTTTTATGGAGGGATTGTAATGAAATTGCCCAAATTTAACCTATTTTCTGATAAATCTGCCCGAATTTTCTTGATTTTCCTAGCATTTGCCCCAAATTTCGATGGTTTCCAAAATTGGGATTGCCCCCACCCCATCTCATATGCCTATGAGAACTTCAACGTTGCGAGTGAAGGGCCTTCGTTGGAAAGTTGGTAGCTGCTACAGGAAGAACCAATGAAGGGTCTTCGCTCGATATAATTGTTATTTTTCAAAATTAGCTGGATGTCACCCTGACTAGATGCTGGTCCATACTACAGTACCTTGAATCTTTCTTCTAATAAAGAGACTTCACTGATGAGATCTGTGATGGCATTTGTGAATGCTTCTTGTGGACTGGAATCTGAGGTGGTCTGAACACGTAGGATAAACTTGGATTCAAGGGGATGTGGTACTTTATATCCTGCAAATAACACCTGAGGATCCTTCAACAGTTGCCTAAAAGATATGCATAAAACGTTCACAATAGGTTTAGGTGAGCATTCTAAACGATGACTGTTAATTGATCTAACCCATATTCAACTTTAATAGCATTTATAAATTAAAGTGTTTTTTTTCTTTTTATTAATTGTAAGGTCAGTATCTGTAGTTTTATTGCTTTCCAAGCATCAGCCATTGGAATTTGGCAAAATTTCTGTAAGCCGGAAATTGTCTCCATTAAGCCATTAAGATTGAACCCGCCAGCAATTCTACCTCTCACGGCAGTATTTTTTCCTAAGTGTTATGGATAACTTGGATTATAAAGAATGTCAAGTGTCAGAAGTTCTTGTGTCTTTTTGATAAGATCAAACATAATGACTGCATGCGTCTGTTACAGGAAGCAAAAAAAAATCTGCAACAAAAATGTCATGAAAAACTTGATGTTGAAACCTGTTATTAACTACGCTTGGGAAATTTACCAGTGAATTTGAAGTTTATGTGGATGATGCTTTTTTATCGGTAGTGCAAATTGTTTTTATAAAGTTCACTTCAGCTGGGCAATGTTAGGCCAAATAAAAAAAAATAGTTGGTTATCGTTAAAACATTTTACTCCTTTTTAATTTTTAATAGTATTTTTTGGGGGGATGGGGCGGTTTTTCCACCATATCAGTGATATTTTTGTACTGTTGTTGCAAAGGCTGCCATTTTGCTATAAGAACCTTGTATACCCGAGACCACGCGCTCCAATCTATCAGTATATAGCACGAAGGTCTGAGCATGAGAAAAATTTCAAATATTAAACTGTTTTAAGCTGTAAAACAAAGAGATTTACATAAAAAAAAGGCGGCAGAAATCGAGAGGCGGACGGTGACGCTAACCAAGTTTGTTTTTTTTTAATTTGGCCTTATCATACAACCAAAGGATGAGAAACAAGTGTGGTGTCAAAAAATTGCCCACATCTGGCATTTGTACATCATGGCTCTGTACTTGGCAGCTCTGGACCTATAGTATCTGGACATTTTGTAAATGTGAAAGTATCTACAAAAGTGAAAGTATCTACAAAAGTGAAAGTATATACAAATTTATGTGAGTGTACATTGGTTCAATAGATTTCATAATTACACTTACGCACGAAGTACGTTGCCGAGTGTATGGTCCTCTTTGTTCACTGTGAAGTGAGCAGCATTTGGTACTTTAGTATCTTTTGTGATGGTAATTCTAATGTAAACAAAATACATAATTCGTTTGATTATACATGTTGATGTTTTTATATAGAGTCTTTTGAAATATAAAATAAGTCTGCAATCCAGTTTTACTGTATTTTATTATTAATAAGCTTTATTTGCATGACCTAATTACAGGTATTGCTAAGCGTAATGGAAAATATATAAAAGTTAACTAGTATAAAAACTACTTTAACTAACTATAATTTACTATAACACTAATTATAATTTAACTATAACACATTCTTACTTTTTCTCTCCATCAAGGAGTAAAAACGTTTCAAAAGTTGCTGGAGCATTCATTGTTTTCTACTTTACTTTGTTCAATAAATTGTGTATTTGTGTACAAACCGTCACTCTTTTTAATCCGCCATCTTGAATGTTCGAACCGCGAAAAGAAAATTACTAAAGAGACTGGATTCTAATGAAACGAATATCTTCCGACCATTTCCGACACGTGTTCAGACACTTCCATTTTCAGTTCTCCATTTTCAGAATTATTGTTCAAGGAAATTTTAGAGATATTAAAATATCTTTTGAAAGAAATTAAACAAAAACAAATTTTAAAAATTTATGAAGATTTAAAAGAACAATATGAGACACAATTAATTGGCATGGTGACATGACGATGTAACTGACTGTTGTGAATATTGCGTTTTTATTTTCAAACTATGTCAAATTCTGCAGGAAATTTGACAGGAAATTTTTGGCGGGAAAAGATTGAAACTACTCGAATTTTTCCGCAGAAAAGTGGAAACAGTCTTATGCATTTTTTAAACAAATTCCCGCCAATTTCAACTCAAAATGGTGGTCAAAAAATGTTTACAGATAGAATGGTATTTTAGCCAAATTTAAAGCACCTTTAGGTTGTTGTTGTGCTTTCTAGACGCCTTCATTCCTCTGCTTTATCCCCTGGTTTTGTTGGCCGGAAATGCTCGGCACAGCAATGGCTTCAAGTGCAGGTATTTTCTTCAATATTCTTGCCACATTGTAAAATCTGTTGTTGATATATGCGGGTGTGTAACATTTAATAAGCTTGTCTCCTGTTCTAGATGGATGTCTCAGCGAGAAGAGAGATCCTTGTGCTAGCCCACCGTGTAAAAGACTTAAACAAGGTTTGAAAATGAATGTAAAGGATTAAAAATTATAACAATAGGCATTTTCATTTTGACCATTAAAATTTTATCGTGGTGTCTTTTATAAAATATATAAATGAGTTCACCATGCAATATCGGGCAACAGATTGCAGTGAACCACCAGTTCTCCGAGTGAGGAATAATCTTTTGTTTGATGAAAAATAAAGGAAAAGAGAGATTTATTTAAATTTGGTTGCTCCTTTAAAGTGTCAAAATTTCTAAAGTTGGACCATTATGTTGTGTGTTGCTCCAGCACAGAATAGAGACATACAGAAGGTCGACTTTTGGCATAACTGTTGCAATGCTGTTGCCATGTTCCTAGCCAGTGCACGTACAAGAAGCATTCACCCCCTGAAAGTGAACGCACTGGCTGGGAACATGGGGAGTGCATTTTGATGACAAATCATGGCATGCCCGCATGGAAGCTGGTCAACTCGGGCTACTGACCAACTCGGCCCATACCATCTTGGCCCAATTGTTAACTACTGTTTGACTTATTAGAAAAACTAATATTTTACAAAAGATAGCACCAAACCAATACAGCCATTTACAGTTGCATTGGGCGTACAGATGAGTAAAGTTTGAGAACATCCAGTTTGACTTAATTTAATTAAAGAATCTATCGAAGTTTCAAATTCTCGATCTGTCCGTTTTGATACTAAATTACTGACCATTCAAATCTCTCTCAAAATTTGCAAAGATAGAACACAGTCATGGCTCCTAGTTGTTTAATGGTTAGATTAGTCAGTTTACAAGCGGGTGGAGTTGGTCCTTGAACGGTGGGCCGAGTTGGTTAGTGGGCCGAGTTGACTGTAAAGCTGCCCGCATGGCATAGGTTACGCTTTTTTGGCCGAGTCTGTCTGTGCCCTCAGGCTGGGTGTTAGCTACAGTAAAAAAAAATGGTGTTACATGCTGTTTTCCCAATTACTTTTAGCTACTGTAGCAATTTGCCAATTTAGACCCATTTCATAATTTAGGCCCATTTCATATACCATACTTCAAATGTGTCAAATTCAGTTCAAGAATTAGGTACGGCCAAAGTTTGACGTCAGAATCAAGTCTGAGCGTCTTCCAAGACAAGCGTTAATTCTTAGAGGCAAAGCGTTAATTCTTGGAGGCACCTTGTTCGCAGTTTGTAATTCGTCCCTAGTACAATAGCAGAGCCTGAAATAATTTTTAAATTTGTCCGGCAAAACTTCCAAGCAAAATGAAATTTGACCGGAAATTTTCAAATTTGGTCGGAAAATTTTTAGTTTAGTTTGATCGCCTCCATTGAGTAAATTATGTCAAGCATGCAGTAAATCACTCTACTTGTAATAAACAGCCTATTTAACTGTCCTGATGAAGGGCCTTTGCTCGAAACGTCGAAG